CACCATGGATAATACAAGTGAGTGTGTTTACCAAGAAAATACAAGTGAAGTGACATTTTCCATGGTATACCATCCAAAACCATAGGCCTTTTCTGAGTTTTATAAACAGGATGCATTGTGGTCTAGCTTTGGTACGAATGACACCATATAAGGCATGATGAATAAAAGATGTTTGTACTGAAGCTAGACCAYAATGCACCATGTTCACTACTCAGCAAAGGTCTGTTTGTATGACTAGCATGCATCCAATTGATCAACTTACATGTCTGTCATGCACAGGCTGGCCAGAGCTTGGCAGCATCAATACATTCACATGTGGCCTTGACTAGTGTGGCTGACAAGCTGATGAAAAACAAAATAACAAAGATTATTAAACAACATGTCTTAGATGTATTAGTTTGGGTTATTAGCAAAAATATTGGGGTGAGGGGTGGGGTGGGGTGAAAAACAAGTACTTAGTCACAACAGTTTCAAACCCTGAAATATTTATGCCTTTGTAGTAAAATGTATTAATACATACCTGATAATCAACAATAAGCTGCTCCTTRGAATGTTGTGAAGRAWCCAAAGRCACTGACCARAGCTTGACAGCATCAATACTGTACATTCAAATGTAGCTTGACTAAAGTGGCTGACAAGCTGATGAAAACAAACAACAAATACTGATAAACAATCTGTTTTAAGATGTACTGTTTGGATTAAAAACAAAGATGTAACCTTATCATCATATGGTAATTAAGTACTAAGTCACTGACTTTGAAATGATTGATATACCGAGATGCAAAAACATTATTTGGTTCAAAAGAAGATTGTACTGACTGAAAAGTATTTTGGGAATGATATGGTAATATAGTTTTGATGTATTTAATTTAAGATACAGTCAAGATGTTAAAGTGGAATGTAAATGAGAATGGCAGACTAGCTATGGTTGAGTGATTTCTATTATATTTTTACTTATTAATTATTCATGATATAAAATATTTTAATATCAATCTACTTCCCATGTTCCATTTTGGTCTCAACTTTTACAAGCAATTTTTTGAACCCAACAATAATTTTACATTAAGGTATATATGCCCAACAATGAATTAATACATACCTCTAACGATCAGTACCCCTTGGAATGTGGTCATATTATGAAGGTCATAGGGTCATCACCAGGTTACCACATCAATTATCATCTTGCTAATGAGGTCAATACTCATACATTAAGGTGAGTCCATATTGTTATGAAGGTCATAGGGTCATCACCAGGTTACCACATCAATTATCATCTTGATAATGAGGTCAGTACTCATACATTAAGGTGAGTCCATATTGTTATGAAGGTCATAGGGTCATCACCAGGTTACCACATCAATTATCATCTTGCTAATGAGGTCAGTACTAATACATTAAGGTGAGTCCATAATTTGTATTGAAGGTCACGGGGTCATCACCAGGTTACCACATTAATTATCATCTTGATAAGTTTTTTGCTTCTTTTAAGGCAGTAAATCCATGGTTAGCTTGCTGATTTTCGTGCATATATTGGTTAGGGTCAAGGTGCAGTGTGACTATCAGGCTCAGATGTCAAGAAACGACGGCCATCTTGTTACAGGCTCAATCGACGGTTTTACGAAGAAATGTACATGAATTTTTTTTCGACTGCAATGCAAAAAGAATAGCCATTAAGACATTAATATTTAGGATTTAGGGAGAAAATGGTTCGAAACTTTTACAAAAAAACAAGTTTCGTACAACGTTAAAAACCGAATTTTCAAAATATATAAAAAAATGAAAATATTCTTAAGCTAAGT